AGGAGAGGAGGGGAGAGGAGGGGAGAGGAGGGGAGGGGAGGGGAAGGGAGGGAAAGGAAAGGAAGAGAAGAGAGAGAGAGAGAGAGAGAGAGGGAGGGAGGGAGGGAGGGAGAGAGAGAGAGAGAGAGAGAGAGGGAGGGAGGGAGGGAGGGAGGAGAGAGAGAGAGAGAGAGAGAGAGAGAGAGAGAGAGAGAGAGAGAGAGAGAGAGAGAGAGAGAGAGAGAGAGAGAGAGAGGGGGGGGGGAGAAGTAGAAGGAGAAGGAGAGACAGAGAGTGAGAGAGAGAGAGAAGGGTAGCATAGGATATGATGGAAAAAGCGGGAGAAAGAAATAAAAGAACTGAAAACAGAGAGAAAGAAAACGATCCTTTAGAAAAGGAGTTAATGATGTCAGGAAATGTTTAATTCTTTTAACAGAGCGACTGAGAAAAGGAGGCGGAATCTCCTTTGATGGTGATAACAACCGCGGTGATAATGATGATGACAATGGTGATGATACTGACGATTACGATAATAAAATGGTAAGGATGATGACAGTTGGCCAATTTCACAATCCTGCTGATGATGGCCTTGATGGCTGTGCCGAGGGTGACATTAATGACTACATGACACTTTTGTCGGAGACGAGGATGGCGATAGCGGTTTTGTCGAGGCGGTGACGGAGGCGGAGAGGAAATGTAGAAGGGATGGAGGAAAGGGAGACAAGTAAACGTGGGAAGAAAGAAAGAATAAAATGCATAAAAATTCACAAGCACTTCTGTATGGACTTCTACCTCTTTATTTATTGAGCTTAATGGAGAAGAGAAGTGCACTAAATGCTTCTATGTTGCAGTTATTTTCATTCATCATTACTGACTTGGATGGCACTCAGTCGCTCCAAGAAATGAAGCGAAAAAGACAAACGTTATCTTTACTTATTTCTTCCTTTGCGTTCTTCTCTTCTCCTTATTTATCACTACTTTTCTTCTTTGTTATCCTTCCCCTATCATCGCATTCTTTCTATTCCTTCATTCGTCGCATATTATCGGGGTTTCTTGCATCGTGTCTATTTGTGGAAATGTATATCTGGCCCGATTTTAATTATTATTACCATATCTATTCCATTTATTTCTCACACAGCTTTTATTTATGAAAGCAGAGAAAGGTATTTGCGCATGCAAATATCGCAATTTGCAAGCATGCACGTGTGTCTAATCGTTAGCTTATCCTGCATATCACAGCGAATGCATTAATAGCGCCTCGTTCAGTGTGCAGATTTATTGCAAGCTTGCACCAATAAACGCTGATTATTTCTTGACGGAGACAAACCATTGCAAAACAGGTTACTGATGGCCAACAGTTTCTGTTTAAATTACTGCCAATGTTTAAAAAAGAGAAAAATGTATAAACACTACAGTATCTGGCTTGCGTTTTTCGATCCGGTAAGTTCAATTTCATTCTCCCTGAATTGGTCGGCTAGCAAGAGCACATGCAATATTGCAGCCTCTGCAATATGAAATGGTAATGACTCCAGCAGACCCCTAGCTAACATTTACTTTTTCTCGCATGATTTTTTTAAAGTTATGAAGGGAATTTTTAAAATGAAAGCCTTTATTTCCCTTCTCTCTATATAAAACAACTATTCAAACCTTCATGAAATATTTAAAAAACGGCATTTAATAAAATATATATGAAAATCGGTAAATAGATAGGTAGAGCAAATAAATAAATAAATATTCAAATCTACGATTGTACAAATCAATAATATTAGACATGATTTTTTTCAGAAATTTGCAAATACCTTCTGGAGAGTCTCTGCTGTGACTGCTTTCTCTGGCACTCACCTGTGGGGAAAAATACAAATCAATAAATGTGTTTCATGAGTGATTACTGTTTGTGTGTGTGAGCTGTGTGTGTGCGTACGTGCGCGTGCATGGATGTGTCTGTGTTTTACGGGGAAATCATAGATAAAACAGCCGATAAAGAATAAACTCAGAACACATTATAAATATCTAAATAATCTGGCTTGGCCTTTCCCGCCTCGCTCGAACGCAGGTGCTTGCGAGGCGCCTTCGCGAGACCGATAAATTTTAACTTTTATTCCGTCCGAACTTCTGCGCAACACGCTTCACGGGATTAATTTTTGCCGCTGATGAAGGACACGTGGTGCAGGGAGGGGGGGGAGGGGGAAATAATGCAATGCATGATCACTTGGGAAGAATTGTGAGGAAAAGGTAGAGGAAGAGGAGGATAAGGAGGAGGAGGAGGATAGGGAGGAGGAGGAGGAGGAGAAGGGGGAGGAAGAGGAGGAGGAGGAGGAGGAGGAGGAGGAAGAGGAGGAGGAGGAGAAGGGGGAGGAAGAGGAGGAGGAGGAGGAGGAGGAGGAGGAGGAGGAGGAGGAGGAAGATGAGGAGGAGGAGAAGGGGGAGGAAGAGGAGGATAGGGAGGAGGAGGAGGATAGGGAGGAGGAGGAGGAGGAGAAGGGGGAGGAAGAGGAGGAGGAGGAGGAGGAGGAGGAGGAAGATGAGGAGGAGGAGAAGGGGGAGGAAGAGGAGGATAGGGAGGAGGAGGATGGGGAGGAGGAGGAGGAGGATGGGGAGGAGGAGGAGGAGGATGGGGAGGAGGAGGAGGAGGAGGAGGAAGATGAGGAGGAGGAGAAGGGGGAGGAAGAGGAGGATAGGGAGGAGGAGGAGGATAGGGAGGAGGAGGAGGAGAAGGGGGAGGAAGAGGAGGAGAAGGAGGAGGAGGAGGATAGGGAGGAGGAGGAGGAGGAGAAGGGGGAGGAAGAGGAGGATGGAGAGGAGGAGGAGGATGGGGAGGAGGAGGAGGATGGGGAGGAGGAGGATGGGGAGGAGGAGGAGGATGGGGAGGAGGAGGAGGAGGATGGGGAGGAGGAGGAGGAGGAGGGGGAGGAGGAGGAGGAGGATGGGGAGGAGGATGGGGAGGATGGGGAGGATGGGGAGGAGGAGGAGGAGGAGGATGGGGAGGAGGAGGAGGAGGAGGAGGAGGAGGAGGAATAGGATGATGATGATGATGATGATGATGAGGAGGAGGAGGAGGAGGAATAGGAATAGGAATAGGAAGAGGAGGAGGAATGTCAAAGCAGGAAGATGGAGGCGCGAGAGGCGGCGCCGCTGCCCGCGAGCGCAGGAGACACGGGAGCGAAAATTTCAAGCAATCGCTTGTGATATATTAACCTTTCAGAATCACTTTCAGTAATGACATTTCCTCCCTAATTCACTGGCACAGCCTTTGGCTTTGGGAACATTTCGTTCTGAATACATTGCCGTTTTCGGCGGACGATCGCATTCATTTATTTGTCCATTCATTCGCGTGTTTTCCTGTCTCCTCGCCTGGATTTCACTTACTGCTTTCCTGTGTTCCTATTTTACCTCTCGTGTGTCCGTTTGCATGCATACCTGCTTTATTGAATACCTGCTTCCCTTCCTGTCTGCTTCTCTGTCTCCATACCTTCACGCCTGCCTGCCTGCTTGCATGCCTACGTGCCTATTACTTCTGCTTGCCTCCTATTTGACAGCCTGCCTCCTTGCTTACTCATTTGCATGCGTCCCTTTCTTTCTACTAATCTATTAAGCCTCATGCTTGAACAAACCTTACCTCAGCATCCATGAACGTGCATTTTCTGAAAGACCGAACAGCTGATTTATTAATGAACCGAACTTTAGCCTGAAAGAAACTCCATCGTTGCCAAATTACCCTCTCTATATCCTCTCCTCCCCCGCAACATACTGCATATCTGAGGTCGCAGCCGCCCTTCTGTCCCCTTGAGGATTACTCGAGAATGCATCTAGGGCGGTGGGGCGTCTCAAGATAAGGGCCTTGATCCCCTGCCTGCCTGCCCGGCCCCTTACTTGGACATGAGGGCGGCCGCCAGGGAGATAAGATAAAGTCCAACATGTGGCACCGCCGCACCAATGGTGTGCCAACTAGGCAATTATTGGAGATTTGGAGTTCTTATTTTTACCGTTTTTCAGAAAAGAGGAAGAGGAGTAGTAAAATAATAAATGAGAGAAAGAACGAGGAGAGGAAACGGAAAGAAAATAAATTAGACGAACAAGAATGACATAAAGGAAGAAGAGGAAGAAAAATAAAAGAGATGAATTGAGGACGGGAGGAAAAGAAGAAAAATACGTTAGAAATCTAAAGAGAAAGAAAATAACGGGCAAGTGAAGAAAAAAGAACGATTTCAAAAGGGTTACAAAGCGACTTAATTAAGTTATCTGTCTTTCTATGGAATGTTATACTTTTTCACTTTCATTCAAGGAAGACATCAGCTGTGACTATTAAGAGATTATATCCATTGAAATAGCGACTTACGAAGGAAATAAAAAGCACACAACTACAACAATATGCTTACTCCTCTTTCTCGAATCACGCCTCGCCTTAGCGCCGTCTCCTCGCGCAAGGCCGCACGCGCGCTCACAGCACCCACAGCTCAACGAACGAACACATGTGCTAACCATTCGGACAATGCGATGACGCCATAGACCCCCCGCTTGGGGCGTGACGTCACGTACTCCGTGAACTGAAGATTCAACGTGAACGAAGTGTGTGTCTGTTTGCGTTAGTAATTGTACCTGTGTGCGTACATGCGTGCGTTCGTGTGTGTGTGTGTGTGTGTGTGTGTGTGTGTGTGTGTGTGTGTGTGTGTGTGTGTGTGTGTGTGTGTGTGTGTGTGTGTGTGTGTGTGTGTGTGTGTGTGTGTGTGTGTGTGCGTGTGTGTGTTTATTAGGCGCGTCTTGTTTCCATGTGTGCATGAGTGGGCAAGGTCCGGCCGTGAGTGTGCGTGTCCGTGTTCAGAACCTACATTCTAATTAATTTCGAGATAAGTTACCTGAAAAAAAGAAGAAAAATGCGCCGAAGAAATGAGAGCAAAAGAGCAAGGGGTCAAATGAGCAGGAGGCAACAAAGGCCGAAGCGGCATCCCCAAGGGAGCGCGTCTCCCGCCGCGGCCAGAGCGCCTCCGGCCGGCGAACACGCGCGTGTCCCATGGCACACTTACCCTCCATTTCGTCCATGTCCACGTCGAGGGGCTCCGCCGGGTCCCTGAGGGGCGGCGGGGCGGCGAGGGGCGCGACCTCCGTGCTCATGGCGCCGTCGGCGTCGGGGGCGGCGGCGGAGGAGGGCGAGGGGCGCGCGGGAGGAGGAGACGGGAAAGGGGATGGGGAGGCAGGGGGCGAGGAGGGCGCGGGAGGGGTGGAGATGGCGGTGATAGGAGCAGCTGGAGGAGAGGGAGGAGGAGAAGGAGGCGCGGGAGGAGGCGCGGAAGAGGAGGAGGGGGGAGAGGGCGGGAGGGATCCTGGAGGGTCAGTCCCTCCCCTCAGGAAGGAACTGCCGCACGAACCGATCTTGGCGACTCTTGTTCTTCCTCCCCTTTACCTCTTCCTCGTCTTCCTCTTCTCTTCCGTCCTCTCTCTCTCCCTCTTTCTCTCGCTCTCTCCACTTCCCCCAAACTCTTGGCGTCCGTCTGCACGCGCCTCACCCCCTCTCCACCGTGTGCCACTTACGCGTTCCTTCTCCGGTCCTTCTTGCCCCTCGTTCGCTGGCTCGCTTACCTCGCCTCTCCACTTGCACAGGATCTCTGTTTTTCTCTCCTTCTCTCTTTCCGTTCCTGCGTCCACTTATGGCCGGGATAGCGTGGTGACCCGCGCAGAGGTCCCACACTCACAACATGGCCTCCGCGGCACTGGCTCGAGGAGGTGCCACGCTCAAGTGCCACTTGAAAGTCCGCCTCTAACAAGGGTTCGCGGCGTGACCCGACACTTGCACTGGGGCACCGCGGCACTCAGGTCTCCTTTTCATTCGCAATGAAATATGTTTATGCAAATAATTTCTAATAAACCTTTCCTCTGTAAATGAGAAAAAAAAGTAATAGGTAAATTAGTGTGTCCTTTCCTTCGGTTTGCTAATTTATGTTTTTTTTTCTTCACTTTCACGGATTTCCGGTTGAATTTCCGTTAAGGCACTCATCTATATTTTTGAATGCTGGACATGAGTCTCGAGGGCCAGCCCACACGTGTGGAGGAAACAACATGGCTCTCGGGAAGAGGGATCAACTCTCTCTCTCCCCTTCTACCTTGTCTTCTTCTTCCCCCCCCCCTCTCCCTCTCTCTCTCTCTCTCTCTCTCTCTCTCTCTCTCTCTCTCTCTCTCTCTCTCTCTCTCTCTCTCTCTCTCTCTCTCTCTCTCTCCTTCTCCCTTGTCTTCTTCTCCCCCCCCCCTCTCTCTCTCTCTCTCTCTCTCTCTCTCTCTCTCTCTCTCTCTCTCTCTCTCTCTCTCTCTCTCTCTCTCTCTCTCCCTCCCTCCCTCTTTCTCTCTACCACAGCTCGTATTCTTTGTCATATATAAATCTATCTACCGGTTAGCATGTTGAATAAAATGTTCGAAATAAGAACTCTCTCTCCTGTCCCTTTCTCTCTTCCCCTACGCTTCCCCCCCCCCCTCCTGCCCCTCTCTCTCTTCCACCTTTTTCTCTCTTCTACTTACAACCTCTCTCCCCACTCCCCTCTTTCTCCTTCCCTCTGTTCTTCCCCCTCTCTTTTTCTCTACCTCCCCCCCCCCCCTTCATCTCTCCATTCCCCCCCCCCATCCCTTCCCGGGGCGAAGGGGGAAGCCCGACTCTCCGTAGAAACATCCCCGGAACAATTTCACAGAAAACGAAACACCACAAGTCATAGAAAACGGAGATTTCCTGAAAACGTCAGTACAGAGAATGACATTCTAGATAATAAACGAATAAATAAATGAATAAATAAACTACATGTTGCAAGACCGGATATCGCAACAGGTACATTTCCGAGAGAAATGTCTTGGAATTATTCTTCTGCTCCGCTATGACTATTTCGTGAATCTTGAATCTTATCTTTAACGGCCGGGTGAGTGAAGCTGCCTTGAGTGTTTTCAAACATGCATCTGATTTGATAGGATGGACACTCGATCGCAAGGCAGTGACCGCTCAGCCAGATGTTTTGATGTATTTTCATTTTTGTTCAAATAGCTAGAGATCTTCCACTTTTGTCTCCATCCCTCTCACTTTATATGTCTCCGCGGTCGTATGTGTGTATGTATGTGACTATCACTGCCTCTGCTTCTGCCTCTGTCTCTACTTCTGCCGCTGTCTCTCTCCATCTCTTTCTCTCATTCCCTCATTTATCCACATTCTCTCTTTCACTCTTTTCCACCCCCTTCCCTTTTCCCTCACTCACGCCCCTTCCCTCCCTCTCTCCCTCACCTTCCGCCCGTCCCTTCCTTCTTCCCGTTCTCCCTTTCTCCCTTTTATCCCTTCCTCTTCTCCCATCCTTCCCTCCCCTCCCCCCCCCTCTCCCTCCGGAAATAAAGGGCGGGCGAGGGCGGCGCCGGCCTCCCGCGCCACCGTCAGTCCAGCTCCGAGTTTCCCAGATTTCGGGAGAAGGATTTGGGGAAAAAATAAGAAAAGATAAAAACGCATTTAAAGTTTCAGAACCGAAACCACTCGCTTTGCGGAGACAGACGCGTTGAGGCCGAGCAGACGGGTGCGGTTGTAGATCCTCACAGATAATAGATTAGGGAGATGAGGGCGTCATCTTTTAATGGAGGGATTTGATGATGATGATGATGATGACGATGATGATGATGATGATGATGGTGATGACGATAATGATGATGATGATGATGCTGATGTTGATGCTAATAGTAATAATGATAACAATAATAATAATGATAATAATAATAAAAAAAATGATTATCACTATTATTATCAACATAATAATAATAACAGCAATAATGATAATAATAATAACAATAATGATAATAATAATAATGATAATAATGATCATATTAATAACAATAATATCAATAATAATAATAATAATAATAATAATATTATTATTATTATCATTATAATGATAACAAATAATACTGAAAATAAAAAAAAGCAATATTGATCATTCTGAATAATAATAATTATTGTTATTATTATTATCATACTAATGATAAACTAATAATAAAATTAATAATAACAATAATAATAATAAACTCTAGCACTGGACCAAAAATAAAGGTAAAAAAACAGGAAAGTTTGGCTGGAAATTTCTCTCTCTTTTCTCTCTAATTAAGATTTTCGGGAAGTCTTTGGGCGGCGAGAGAGAACCTTCTAGAAGGTTGCCTCCCGGTGATTACCTCTCCCTCTTTCCTCATTTCGTTTCTGCCTTTCGTCTTTGTCTGTCTGTCTGTTTGTCTGTCTGTCTGTCTGTCTCCTCTCTCTCTCTCTCTGTGACTCTCTTTGTCTCTCTCTCTCTCTCTCTCTCTCTCTCTCTCTCTCTCTCTCTCTCTCCTCTCTCTCTCTCTCTCTCTCTCTCTCTCCTCTCTCTCTCTCTCTCTCTCTCTCTCTCTCTCTCTCTCTCTCTCTCTCTCTCTCTCTCTCTCTCTCTCTCTCTCTCTCTCTCTCTCTCTCTCTCCTCTCTCTCTCTCTCTCTCTCTCTCTCTCTCCTCTCTCTCTCTCTCCTCTCTCTCTCTCTCCTCTCTCTCTCTCTCCTCTCTCTCTCTCTCCTCTCTCTCTCTCTCCTCTCTCTCTCTCTCCTCTCTCTCTCTCTCCTCTCTCTCTCTCTCCTCTCTCTCTCTCTCTCCTCTCTCTCTCTCTCCTCTCTCTCTCTCTCTCTCTCTCTCTCTCTCTCTCTCTCTCTCTCTCTCTCTCTCTCCTCTCTCTCTCTCTCCTCTCTCTCTCTCTCCTCTCTCTCTCTCTCCTCTCTCTCTCTCTCCTCTCTCTCTCTCTCTCCTCTCTCTCTCTCTCCTCTCTCTCTCTCTCCTCTCTCTCTCTCTCTCTCTCTCTCTCTCTCCTCTCTCTCTCTCTCCTCTCTCTCTCTCTCTCTCTCTCTCTCTCTCTCTTACACACACAAAAAAGAAAGAGAAACCGTGGGGAATGCGGAAGAAAATTTGAAATAAAAAGAGACGAAAAAATAACGAAACTGAAAATCGGCCACAGGAGCTTTTTTTGTTCTCTTGTTTCGAACTTCTTCACGGCTTTTGATCATAATTCAAAAGTGAACCGTTAGAGGAGTAAAAAAAAAAGAGAGAGAGAAATTAAATCAACGAAAGAGGAGGAAGAGAGGACGAAAAGAAGAGGAGTCGAAAGGGGAATAAAGAAGAGCAAGAGGAGAAAGAGGGAAGAATCTTGCAAGTTGCTTTTAAGAATGTTCATCGCCTCAGAACAGCGGCCGAAACTGAGGCAAGAATTTACATCATTCTTCCATTCCGATATTTTGTTTCCCTTCTTTCTCTCTTTCTCTATTCCCCCCTCTCTCAATTTCACTCTCTCTTCCTATTTATTTGTTTCTGTTTCTGTCTGTCTGTCTGTTTATCGGATTTTCTCTCTCTCTCTCTCTCTCTCTCTCTCTCTCTCTCTCTCTCTCTCTCTCTCTCTCTCTCTCTCTCTCTCTCTCTCTCTCTCTCTCTCCGTCTCTCTCTACCTACCTACCTACCTACCTATCTACCTAGTAATACAAGTTAACAGGAGCTCATTCCCAAGTCCCTTTAAAGAGGGAAGAGAAGGCAAGCATCCCCGCGCGACCCGTCCTGTTCCTTCCAACCAGAACAGCGCCACTCTTCGCCTTCCTCCGCCTGCTTCAAGTGGATGAATTTATCGCCATTTTTCTATCTCTCGTTCACTGGCCTTTCGCACAGTTGTCGTATAGGATGTCGCCTCATTAATTATGTGCTCTTGGATAATTATAGCCCGGCGAGTGATGCATAGTAATCAGTTTATGGCGCTTCGGTGGTGGGGATTCTGCTCGACGGTGTTGCTAGCGGAGCCTTACGAAACCGCGCCCCGCACGCACGCACAGATGCATGCACGCAGTTGAACACACAAGCAAACAAATAACTTTTGAAAGACAAACAAAAAAATACATAAGCAGATATCACACATCCTGAATGGTGTTATATATATTTCTTCAAGCATAATCATTATCACTGTGTTCACTAAATTACCAGTATCTTGGCGTTAAAGGTCCCTCAACATTTTTTGCAGAAACAAACACCGACTTTCACCTGCATTTTGTTATTTTTATTCTCCCTTGCATATATTATTTTCTGTTTCAGTGTGGAAAGCCTGGTTTCAACGCCATTCTAAACTCTTCAAATCGCTAAATTTATTATATCTTTCGTTCGTCTGAGTTTTCTTTTCCTATTATTTGATTTCCAATAGTGCTAATACTATTGTCATTATTTTTACGCACTTTTACTTCATAATCGAACGCTCTAAACAGAACATTCCCTCCTATCTGTCTGTCAATCTGTCTGTCTCTCTGTCTGTCTGTCAGTCTCTGTTTGTCTGTCTGTCAGTCAGTCAGTCTGTCTCTGTTTGTTTGTTAGTTTATTTGTATGTCTGACTGCCTATCTGTCTGTCTGTTTGTCTGTCAGAGTGAGTGAGTGAGAGTGCGTGTCCTGTTTCCCTTCTCCTTCTCCTTCTCCTTTCCCTCTCTCTCATAAGCAGATAAAATATTAACCATAACAATTAGCGAATCTTCCCTTACTCTCTTGCCATCAGCCTACGCAATTTCCCCTCTGCCCCTTGCCCTGCACCAGCCTGCGTTCAGCCGACGAGGACGGGACACAAGCCTCACTCAGACGGGGTAACAGTATAATGTGTTGTCGAAAAAGGTCGGGTATTTTTCTCCCTAAATATTAATTGTTTGTCGAGAAAACCTGTGGTAACATTTTTTCTCTGAAACACAAGCTAATAAATACATATATGATAATGATGGTAATCGTAATAATGAAAATGAGTGCTAATAGTGGTGGTGGTGGTGGTGGTGGTGGTGGTGGTGGTGGTGGTGGTGGTGGTGGTGGTGGTGGTGATGATGATGATGATGATG